TGGAGAATGTGAGTGATACAGAGATGGAGAGACACAGGACCAAGATAAATAATGAGAAACCCACCAAAAATTTTTTTGACTACCAATGATTCTAGGACGAAATTTGGGGACATTTGAAATGTGTAACTTACTCGGTCCAGTGATGTAGAAATACTTTCATTAGAAGTTAGTGACTTTAGGTAAACTCACTAGGGAGATGCTGCTCCAAAGCCAGGTCTTCTCTTCAGTGAGAGAGTTTTTGTTTACCCGAATTCTGTGGATAACTGACATGGTGTTTTTCATTCATATCCATGCATCCATCTCTGGAGAACGTAGTGCATGCTTTCTATAGGCCTGTAGGCATTCAGGTAGGTCTTGATGGCACAGAGGCACACAATCCCTGACCTCCAGACCTTCAGTCATTCACCCCTTAAGCCAACCCATCAACTCACACACTGAGAGGGAGACAGACCATAAAAGGGAGACAATTCAATATGATAAGTGTTTGGAAAAGGAAAATAAAGGATGGTGACAGAAGGTCATGGCTGGTCTCCTGGAATTCACAGAAGGCTTCCTAGGGTGAATTTGTTAGCTCTGGCTGCCACAACGAAGTCCCACGGACTGGGTGGCTTCAACAAGAGAAATTTATTTCTCTCAGTTCTAGAGGCTGGAAGTCCAAGGACCAAGGCATCGGCAGGTTGCTTTCTCCTCAGGCCTCTCTCCTTGGCTTGCAGGCAGCCATCTTCACGTGGCCTTCCCTTGTGTATGTCTGTGTCCCAATCTCTTCTTATAAGGACACCAGTCACACTGGATCACGGTCCACCCATATGACCTCATTTCACCTTCACTACCACTGTAAAGGCCCTCTCTCCAAATACTTACCATCTGAGAACTGGGGAGGGTTAGGGTTTCAACATATGAATTTGAGGGCAACCACAATTCCGCCCATAACACAGGGGAGGTGACTTGTAAACTGGGGCTTGAAGAAAAAGTAGGATTTCTTCAGGTGAAGGGCTGGCTAAGAGGGAGAACATTCTGTGCCAATGGTACCCATGTATCTTGTCTATCTATCAAGGCACGTGAGAGGAAGTGGCATACGCAGCCAATTACATGTATTTTGTGGGGGCAGGAGCCTAGATGCAACATTAGAAGCAACAAGATTTGAGCCTGGGGCGTTAGAAGGACTGGACGGTGGAGGTCTTGCCATCCAAGGCAACGTTGGGCCAACAGGGTGCATGGAAGGATTTTAAGCAAAAGGCTGGGGACCAGATTTGTATTAATCCAGTATCTAGAGGCCATTGATGGGTGCATCAACACTAATGGGTGCATAATTTGCAAAAGCAGTCAGGAGGCTGTTCACCTTTCATAGGACACCGGTCATGGAGGCGATGAGGACAGTAATCCTCCTTGCATATGTAGGTGCAGTTAAGGAACCTCTTTCACGCCAATGTTTTTGTTCAGGCCTCCAAATTAACAGCTGAGAAAACCAAGGCTCAGAGAGATGGAGGGACTTGCCCAAGAAAGGTCACAAAGTAGCACGTGGGGAGCCTGGGTTGGAACAGCAGCTCCTCACCTCTTGGCCCCAGACTCTTTCTAGGAAATCAGCCTCCTTTCTGAGTGGTGAGCTGTGTTCTCTAGCCTCCCTTCCAAAAAGCCCTGCAGCACATATTTCTTTGTGGTCTGCCCCACGGCCTTGTTAAGATGTTCACCCTTTCAAGGAAGCAAGAAAGCTGTCATTTGAGAAGCGTTTACTGCCATAATTACAGCCACCATTCGGTGACGTCAAGTGAGAAAACCCCAATGACTTAAAAGACAAACTACACTCCATATGCCACAATCTGTCAGGGGCCAGGAACAGCTTGATGGAAATCCTTCTGTTGTATTTTCAAAAGCGACAGGCATGTTGCAGGGAACTACTCAGATACAATGATTTTTCTCATTATTGGGTTGTGGGTTTTTTTAAACCACTTTTATGTGCTACCTTCTAATCTCCACCCCCCACCACCCTGACTCCAGAGTGGGACCAAATCCACATTTAGTCTACAGTTTTACATAATAAATCATTTACACTAGAAATTAATATTCTAACAATCATTCCATGAGACCAGCAGTTCTCATTTTGACCCCGGGGAGCATTTGGAAGTGTCTGGGAACATTTTTGTTGCAATTTAAGAGAAGAGGTGTTAACAGCATCTAGTAAGGGGAGACCAGGGATGCTGCTAAACATCCTACAATCTACACGGCAGCACCCCCTCCCCCCACCACCAGCAAAGAATTATCTGGTGCCAAATGCCAATAGTGCTAGGGTCAAGAAACAATGATTCAACTAATACTTGAGACTTTATTCTATGTAAGGCCTTGTTATAGAAATAAGGGATTCTGTGATAAACATGCATTTAAATTTTAAAAAAATTTTATTGTAGTTGACTTATAATGCTGTGTTAGTTTCTGGTGTATGGCACAGTGATTCAGTCATAACATAAGTATATATTCTTCTTCAGTATAGGTTATTATAAAATATTGAATATATTTCCCTGTGCTATACCATAAGACCTTGTTGTTTATCTATATTATACATAGTAGTTTGTATCTGCTAATCCCAAACTCCTAATTTATCCATCCTTGCCCCTCCTCCTCTGCCCCTTCTCCTTTGGTAATGATAGTTTGTTTTTAAAAATACAGAATGCTTCACAGATTTGTGTGTCATCCTTGAGTGGGGGCCGTGCTAATCTTCTCTGTATCATTCCAATTTTAGTGCATGTGCTGCCGAGTGAGCACTGAACATGCCATCTTTGCCTTCTAAAAGTTCACTGGCTAGAGTGGGGTATATATAATTTAGAGTGTTTTCAGCTGCAGGTAACAGGATTCCCAAAGACTGGTTTAAAGATAGCTTTAATATTCTCATGTAACAAAAATATGCAAGTAGGTTATTTTAGGACTGGTTAACTGAGCAACTCAACTATGTCAGTATGGGCCAGCTTCTCCAGAATATTTTCACCTTTTCATTCATGGTTACAGAATGGCTGCCACAGCTCCACTCTCACTAGGCAACCCCCAAGACAGGCTAGATGAAAGGCATATGGGATCTCCTCTCATGTATCTATTTTGTTTCTTATGAAGGAGAAAAAAAATCTTTCCATTAGCTTCCCCAGCCCAGTAGGCTTTCTCTTTATCCTTCCTGCCGGAATTGGGACACCTGCCTATCCTTAAACCCTTCAGGGCGAGTTGGGAATCAGATTATCATCACGGACTTAGACCAGGAATTAGCAGACATTGTCTGTAAAGGGCCACGTAGGAAATATTTTAGGCTTTGTATGCAATATATGGTGTATACTGTATATTCTTCTTTTAATTTTTATAGCCTTTAACCGTGTTATAACTATTCCTAGCACAATGGGCCATAGTTTGCTAATCCCTGGGAAAATTGCTTTCCAATACCTGAACAAAATCAGGGTTCTATTATCAAGGAGAATGGGGACATTGACTTGGTAGGCAGACAAATCTGTCTGCCACAGAAAGGTGTGCAGGTAAAAAGTAATTATAAGACAGTGAAATAAGGGCTATGATAAGAATGCATGAAAAGAGCCCATGGCCATTAGCCCCCCCCCCAATGATCCACGCCTCCTGGTATTTATATCCTTGTATTATGTTGGTTTGTTGGACTGATGGAGGTGGCAGTAGGTGACTTCAGAGGCTGCGTCATAAAAGATACCATCATTCTACCTCACTCTCTTGGAGTGCCCATTCTGGGGGAAGCCAGGCGCTCTGTTGGGAGAACCACGTAAGTGAAATGTTGAGAGGCCCACGCAGTGAGGAGCTGAGGCTTCCCGCCCACAACCAGCACCAGTTTGTCAGCCATGTGAATGAGCCTCCTGAAGTAGCTCCTTCTGCCCCAGATGAGCTTTCAGTCGACTGCAGCTCTGGCTCCTGTCTTAACTGCAATCTCCTGAGAGAACCTGAGCCTGAACTTCTCAGCTCAGCTGCTCCTGCACTCCTGACCCACAGAAACTGTAAGATAATACAAAGTTATTGTGTGAAGTCCCTTAGTTCGGGGGGTGATTAGTTACATGGCCATAGATGACACAGGTGTCTAAGAGAGGTGGCAGTGCC